GGCCTACAGGGTTTTTGCGCACTGCTGTCATCCATTTCGGGGCTATCGCTTTTGGGGGGGCCCTATCGCTTTACTAGGGTTTTGCTCATGTCCCTGAATTTTATCTCTGCCTGCTCTTGGCTCCTACACGATAATAAACGCGGTCGCTCATGTAGGGATAACGGAACAGAAAAAGGAATCTCTAAACCGTAAGATGTTAAACCCTAAACCCGAAACCCTAAAGTAAGGGGGGAGTGACTGCGAGCTTTGCCTCTTGCTCAAGTCGACTTGCTAGCGCGCGGTCGGCAGCGACTCCAGCAGAAAGCTGCCTTGAAGTGTGGGAGATTTAGGGGTTCTAGTTCTAGTTGAGGAACCCCAAAAGAAGGTAGAAACATTGCCTTTTTGGCTGCTTTTAAGGTTTCGTGCTATGAGTTTCCTACCTTTTGCGGTCCAGATTAGCGTTTGGCGGGGATTGCGGGTCTAGGAGCGTTTGGCGCCTAAACCCTAAACCCCAAACCCTAGATTTTAGTGTTTTAGGGTAGGGTTTGCTTGGGCAAAAGGACTGTTGGGCTTATCAGTCCAGGGACCAGGTCCACCCCTAAGCCCCGAAAGACTAAACCCCAGGCCGTAAAACCTAAACCCCTACACGCCTAAACCCCTGAAGCTTAAACCCAAATCCCCACACCCCTATAACCCTCCGCCCCTAAAAACCCTTAACCCTAAACCTTAAACTCTAGGCCCGCAACCCCCAAGCCCAAAAGGCCAGGATACCCTCAAGCCCAAACCCATAACCCTACGTACACCTAAAGCCTTACCCCTAGAGCCCTAAGGCCCAAACAAGGCTCCCTACAACCCCTACGATTTGCACATTCCCATACATCTCTAGATCTCCCTACATGTAACCCTTACACACCCTTTTAGAAGGCTCCTTGCTTCCCAAGAGGGACTCCAAAATCCTAAGCCCCAAACCCTAAACCCTAAACCTAGGAATCCAAGTATATAAATAATACCAACATTGGACCCTAAAGTCTATGAAGATTACCTACATTGGGCTATTCGGATCCCTGGATTAAACCCTAAATCCTGACTCCTAACTTCCTAGCCTCGCCAGAAGCGTGAGATCTGGCTTGTCCGCAGCTGTAGCCGCAGGGCCGCCGGGCCAGGAAATGTCGGGGCCTTCACGATTTAGGGGTCAGGGTTCAGGGTTTAAGGGGCTTAGGGCTTAGGGTTTAGGAGTTTAGGGCTTAGGGTTGAGGGCTTACGGAAAAGAGGCTGAAATTTAGGGGCGAGGGGGTGTGGGTTTGGGGCTTAGCTTCAGGGCTGAGGGTTCTGAAGCTTCAGATGTAGAACCTAAGCGTTTTGTAGATTCGGGGACCATGTACATGGTGATTGTAAAAGGGTAGATTAGACTGCATAAGGCTTAAGGTTAAGAGTGTGATCAAGTTGGATTTTTTCATGGGGCGATATGCTTTAACGTGCGGTATAAGAATGTAACAGGATTGTCTTGCTGATCTTGTATGGATTGGGTCTTGTGAGCCTAGGGCTTAGGGACTTCAGGGTTTGGTGTTAGGTGGTGGTTTAGTTTAGCGTTTGAGGGATCAAGGCTTAGGGTCAAGGCTTTTGGTCCCTACACCCAGACTTGGAGTCATTATGAACACTTCATTCCCTAAACCCTCAACCCTAAACCTTTCAAAGGCAACGGTAGTCTGTAGTTCTATACTTTGAGGGTAGGGTTTGCCTAGTAGGTAAGTTGAGGGATTAGGGTTTAAGGCTTAAATCATAGGATGGCTGGTCTTCTTGTAGGGTTTATACGGGTTCTAAAGCAAGCTTTCTAAGTCCCCCTGATCCTCGCGGCACGAGTGGGTTAACATGACAGCCACCCTCGAATCTACAATTCCGAGCTTGGGTAGACCTTGCCCTTCCAACTTTGCGACCCTAGGGACCATAATCCCCAATGTGCGTTCTGGTGGCTCGGTGAAGTCAATAAAACATTAAACCCCGAAAAACCCTAAACCTGAAACCCTAAACCCTTAGTAGGGTGCGCGCTAGCCTCAAGATACTGGGGTAGAATTACTCTGAACCTTCGGCGTTTGCCCCCCACCCATGAATGTTGGCACAATAGGATATAACAGGCATAGCTCGTGATCCTAATGTAGATACCACTACTCCTTGTGGTCACGACTTGTTTGTCTGGAACTGACTTTAGCCCCAAGCCTAAAAAATCCTAAGCCCGAAAACTGATCCCAACCCCAAGACCTACACGCAGGTTTAGGGCGTAGGGTTACACACAGTGTCTTGAGCCAGTTGAGGAGCCTTGGCTGCTTGAAAGCATCATCATCCACAGACCGCCTGTTTGAGCGCAAAGAAAAACCCCGCGGTTGAGGATTGTCGGTTTCGGGTTGGGTACTGCCCTCACCCAGTAACAGTCTATATTCGGGGTCCTATTAAGGGCTATATATAACCATATTATATCTATTCTCCAACTGTTGCTGAGGGGGGGCAGTACTCAAGTTTAGGGTGTTGAGGGTTTACTGGAACCATGAATGGCCCCACAAGGAAGGACATCCAGTGTCCAGGCAAGCCCAAGAGCCCCTAAACCTCAAACCCTAAACCCTAAAACCAATAGTCCCCCTTAAGTAGATAGAATATAGCTTTGGGTATATTATAATAAGATCCCCATATAATTACCCATATTCTATCTACTTACGGGGGACTAGAAACCTAAACCCCTAAACCCTATAGAGCCCTAAACCCCTAAACCCTCACCCTCAAACCCTACATATCCCCCGGTAGGGTGGAGGTTTTGAATCCCCGAGGTTGCTGTTACGCCTTATGCTCAGGCCCACAAAGGGGGGACGCTGCAAAAACAAATCAGAGTGCCGTTTCTTAGGGGCTAAGGGTTTAGGGATGAGGGTTTAGGGTTTAAGGTTTAGGGTTTAGAGTTTAGGGTTAAATTTTCAGGGATTAGGGTTCAGGGTTTAGGGATAAGGGTTAAGGGTTTAGGGTTCAGGGAATCCCTACATATTGCAAGCACGATAACGTGTTGGTGTCTCATAAGCTGGCCGCATTTCTGGGTCTAGACCCTAAATTTTAAATTCCTAATCTTCTATCCTCAAAACCTTAACTCCCTAAACTTTAAACCCTACGTCCATAATAAGCCCTCCCATGTTAGGTTTTAGGGGTCTAGGCTTCAGGATCTTTGGGTTCAGGGTTCAGAATATAGATGCGGTGGGTACTAAACATCCTGCGTGAAAATTATGGTCTCATTTGGGATACCCCAAGTACTCGGGGACCGTTTTCTTACGGGGGGATCCCCAGAAAGAGATTTGCCAATAGTCCATGTAAATACCTTGTTGGAGACTGCACGCATGCCCCGAAACGCAGCAACAGGAAGGCTTGTTTGAGTTAGCTACAACTACTGCCCATACAAGCCTTGTATCTTTACACCAGCCTCTAAACAAGCCTAAACCCTAAACCCTAAACCTCACCCAGTATTTGGAATCCTGGTGTCTGCTTGAATGGCCATGTCCTTTTCTGTTTGATTCTCGATGTTTGAGGTTTGTATTCTCTTTTGAACTCCTCCATATATCTCTATTTAGTCCTTATACCATCCTAGTTTCAATTTCAATTTGCCTTTTTAGTCATTGTTTACAGATACTGCCTGCATATCTACACCAACAAGCATTGGACGTGCTGCTGTCTGCCTGCAAGTCCAGTTGCCCCAAATTGCAGTCTACTTTCCTCTCTCGCCACCCTAACCCTAAATCCCAAACCCTGACCGTACCCCCTGCTTTTGGTTAATTTGCCTGGTATCTTGGGTAGCTAGGCTTTGCAGGTGAGCATAGAGGGACATCAGAACAGTTGGAAGCTTGTTGCCCCACAAAACAAGTAAGGTCTAGGGCATATAATTTAGGGTAAGTCTTCCGGCTTTTCGTGTTCAAGCTCCTCAGGCGCTGGCAGCGGTAAGCCAGGGAGATTGAAGGGTTGGAAAGCAAATTGTTGAAGCAAATGTTCACATTGTTTGGAAGCTCACCGTAGACTTCAAGAAACAATACGCCTAATTGAACGTGCAGATTTCCACACCATAACCCGAAACCCTAAACAGTAGCCCTGTGCAGGAGCCATTTTTTACTCCGCGCAGGGCGGCCTTTAGCGTCTCTTCCATGGGTTGGCGCATTTCGGCCTGGCCCACACATTGCCTGGAGGCCCAAATGAACAGGCAACTGCCCTGTGTCAAGCTCAGGGCCTGGGGTTGAGGGTTCAGGGTTCAGGGTTAGGGTTCTGGGTATGATTTCCTTGTACCGCCCCAAACAACAACAAGACATCCTCATCACCACAATCATCATCAGCAGCATCAGAAAGGTCACCTGCATCAGTGTCCACATCCTCTTCATCATTACCTAGCTTCATGGCCTAGCAGATCTTAGATGCGTCGGGGCTTAGGGTGTAGGGTGCTTCGCATACCAAGAAACACGAAAACGGCTAAACGGAAGAAGGATTCAGAAAAACAAGTAGAACTGGAAGTTGGAGGAGGAGGAGGAGCAGCAGTAGCAGTACTTGTAGTAGTAGTAGTAGTAGTATTAGTAGTAGTAGTAGTAGTTGTTGTTGTTGTAGGAGTAGTAGTAGTAGTAGTAGTAGTAGTTCCTCTCCTGCTGGACATACTCTAGGATCAGTGGCAGTGGGCGGCCCTGGAAGCGGGGATCTACACCTAACTCCCCATATTTGGAGTCTGATTTAAGGTTCGGTTTAGGGTTTTGGTAATCCAAGTACAATCTAAGGATAGCTATATACAACTGAGTTACACTTACCCTGAACGTCCATGTAGGATGCGTTCAACCAATCTTACCAAACCGCGAGTAACGGCGATATGCTCCTAGACATATGCTTCCTCAAATACTGCTAGGGTGAGAAGTTTACCGTGGAAATCGCATGCCTGGCTGCATGCTGTACCCCAAAGCCATCGTGATGCAGTAATAGACCTTACCTGAACCCCAAAATGTGTAGAGTAATGGCCTTTTGGACTACGTGCTATAGGTTTTAAGTCATCATTTTCTTGCCTAGCTACTTTAGGAGCCAATTAGGTCTTAAACACAGTTTCCATGTTCTCTTCCATTCCTTCGCTCACAGTTTGGGGTTTAGGGTTTAGCGTGAAACCCCACGTCCTGCTCCCAAACCTGAGGGAGCCCTGAGGCAACTCCATAATTTATGTGGGTGGCTTAGCGGGTTTAGGCTTTAGTGTTGAGGGTTTAGGGTTTAGGGTATAGGGTCCCGTCTTGCGGGTAAGGGGGGCCCTTAGGTAGGTACCCTATGGAACCTTGAAAAGCCTAAC